TAGAAAGGATTGTCTTCTGGTAAAATAAGCTGAATATATGAAACATTTTGTTTGTTTAAAATTGTTAGATGAAGAATTCAGTGAAACTCTTGTAGTTTTTTTTTTATATGAACTATTATCACTATTATTACATGATAATTATCAGTTATTATATTTTTAATTTTTATTTCACCTTATTTTGTTGCTTTTTAATCACAGATCTCAAATTGTTCTTATGGACAATGACAGACTACGTTTAAAAAAATATTAAAAAATATTATCTCCCAGTGGACCCACCCATAATTACAATGCTTTTGCTTAATTTTCATAATGAATAAAATTCTCAAAAACTATACATGGAAAAAAGGAGTATAATTAAAATTTTTATGAAAAAGAAAAAAAAAAGTCTATTTCTTAGTTACAGTGTACATATTGCTGGCTGTAGATATCAAATGTGAATACAGAATTTTATAGCTGGATTTTTTATTTATTTTTTAATTTTCAATAATTGGTTGATATCTTTTAATAGTTTACTGCACAATTTACACATTTAACAGATAGTTCAAAGGCAAATTAAAGTAATCCGCTATATTTAAAAGCAATCATTTGTGTTCACTTGATGATTGTTCAAATTTGCCAATAATTGCTTCTGCATCCATTTTATTTAACAATTCTTTTTCAATGGATAACAATCTGTATCATTCCAAATTCTCCTCAGCAGATTTTTTAACCTTGTCTTTATGAAAGAGTCCTCACATTGGACTTGAGTAACAAATAGTGTGCAGATAACTTTAAAATGTTTTTATTCATTTTTATTACTAAAATAGTTTTACATGTTTGTTTCTTGATTGCATTTTGAGTTGATATATGGGACCCACTTGCTATTGGGCAATCTGACACTTTGGCCAGTCTACCACTACTTATGGAGTTTTAATAAAAAAAAAATATAATAGTTGAAAAACAATTATGACATCTCAGAACTGTATCTATTGTATCTAATATTACTAGTACAAATAAACAATATAGCATATTGGTAGGTATTCAGTTACAGAGCTAATTTGAATGATGAATTGTCCTTTTGTCATTGCATGGGCTCTCAAAGATGATGGATAAAAGTTCAAAACAGCCCCTGGATTATTTGATTGCTTCCATTTTCTTCCACATTGGGATTTGAAGATCTGCATCAATCAACTGATATAGGCTTTGAATAGAAACACAGTATAGTGCAGCAGAGTTCTGTATAAATATGATGCCCTTTCCAAATGAAGACAAAAAAAAAAAAAAAAGAAGCAATCATACAATGACATTTGTTAATAAGGTTCCAGCAGCACTAGAACCATTCCTGTTGATTTTAAGAACCACAATTGTGTTGAGGAAGGAGATCAGCCAATATGTGCTTTATGGATATGTAGCCATGAGAAAGGCAGGATTGATTGAATTCTATCCAGGAATCTTTGGAGTAAAGAGAAACTGTAATGAGGACTTCACTCAAAAACAAGAGTTTCTTTAGAAGTGCTTTAACCAAAAACCCATCTCTAAAGAATTTAACTTCAAACTTTCTTGCCGGTCATAAGTATACTGAATAAAGTATTCAGCACAAAGATGACTTGATGTGCTGTTAAACAAGAAAAATAACCAAATACATTTAAGTCTTAATAAGCTCATGAAATGCTTTAAATAAATTTATATAAAAATTAATTTTATTAATTTGGTAGGGGATGATTATATATAAAGTGAAACTGAGGTCTTAGGGTCTATCTAAGAAACCATTAAAAAAAACAAAAAAAAAAACTATATGTTCAGATTTTGGGAAATAGGTCAGGTCAATAAATTTTCAGTATCTGGTTGTAATTTTGAATGTTTTATATAACAATTCTAAATGTATAGTTCTAAACATTTTTTTTTTCTCTTTCTTCAGGATAATCATATTTATTACAAATCAACAATAATTCAAGATGCTGTTGATGAACACTGGGTGGATTTCGGTGACAGTGTCAATGCACACAAAGTTCTTTCAGATAGTCACAGAATGGCTGCGGTAAGTCTGCTTAGAAATCTTCATTATTTAATTTCTGTTTGGAATTATATTCCAAAAACCCTTTAAGAAAAAAAAGAAATTGTTTAATAATTAATTTTATTGATTTCTAATTTCATGATGGGATAGGGACAATTCTTTTGTTTTGCCCTTGGGTCATTGGTGTTGATGAGATTCTAAAACAACAATGAATATCTTGTAGAATGAGAATGTAATTAAAAAATCCCAAAACAAGTATTAATGCCCTCATTGAAATTCTCTGAATTCTCTGTAGCATGGAACAGATTCAACATATCCACAGGCGTGGCATGCAGTTAGCCAATTTGTAATTTTACATGACCTACTGTAAATGGCAATAGGCAGAAGCCATATTTCTTGAATTTAATCGCATTCTCTGATTACTGTGTATCTTGAGAAACAATGGTTTTAAATTCTTGTATTTTTTTTTTTTTTTTTTTTATGTAGAAATTCTATAAAATGTTTTATACATTTATTAAAAATGCTGTTAAAAATTCTTCATGCATTTACATTTAACAAAGAATTACATCTAGTAGCCCTTCATTATTTGATAACTAGTACCAGTTCTTAAACACTATTTTGGTTTGTTACTAAAATAATTTTATAAGAAATTAACCACATAAATCATAATTCACGAAATCATAAAACAGTGATTTGGTTTACTGTTATTATACATCAATTATCTCTTTTTAAAGCAAACCCTTTATTTGATTGCTATTTCCATGGCAAATGTTCAGAGGTGCTACATTCTTTTGTTCCACCAGTTCAGACCTTTACTGCTAGGACCTGCTATACCATGTATGCAGGGTAAAATCCTCGTTCTGTTCATATTCCCTTCCATTCAGCTTGTTCCTGAGAACCATTACTTTGTGGAATAGATTCTTGATAGGATGCTTCTCCAATCACTATGATGACATCTTCAAGCCTATGGTCAACTGTTGTCTATCCTACATATCCTCATAATCTGCACTTACTTCCTCCTCTTGTGTTCATACAACCACCTCATCTAATATCCCTCTATCTTGAGTGACACTTAGGCCTTGTATTTGATGAACAATTTAGTTAAAAAAAAAAATTGTTGGAATAAATTGTTCTTAATTTACTGCTTGGTTTAGTGTTTTGAAAGAGTTCTTTTGCATTGTTTGCTTGACAATATTTGACTTGAGATGATGGCATCTTATGAATATGTTTGACTGAGAGATACTTGGCATCTGTTGCCTGATGGTGGAATTTCACTTTTTGTAGATGTGTGTGTTCTATTTGGAATCTGTGAAACCTTTTTCAAAAGGAAGGTCCTTAGTTTATCCTTAATTACAGTTCTCATCAAGAACCCTCTTCAGATAATGACTTTGGATCAGGTGTGAATCTGTATGAAAATATCCATCCAGGTGATTTTGAGACATTTGATCAAATGAAGGAATAATGTCAATGGAACAAAGCTGTTTACTGCTTTCCAGCTTGTTTGATATCTTTGTCTGTAGTTCCTGCTTTTAAGAACTCTGGAGAACCTTCTGACCCACCTATCGCTCTATTAGTCTCCTATTGCTTTTCAGCAAAGTATTCAAGGCTTTAATTGATGCTGAAGTGGTTAAGCATCTTACCTCTCACAACCTACTCTCTGACAAACAATATGGTTTCAATTTTACAAGGTCTACCACTGATTTGCTAACGGCCATTACTGAATATGTATATCAAGCTCTTGATAATAACGGTGAAGTTCAAGCTGTGGCTCTAGATATCTTGAAAGCATTTGACAGGATTAGGCATGCTGGTCTTCTATGTAAGCTACAGGGCTATGGCATTACTGAACAATTGTTTGATTTAATCTAATCATTCCTGTCAAATCATGAAATGAACATCTCACTTCCAAATCCTTTCACATGAATACTGGTGTGTCCCAAGGCTCTATCCTGGGTCCTATGCTGTTTCTGAACTTCATCAATGATCTTCCTGATGTTATCAATTCCCAAATAGGCATTTATGCTAATGACACAACCATTTACTCCTGTCTAAATAGCAAGTTTATCAGAGCTGATAAAGTTAACCTGACTGCTGCTCTTGAAGAGGACCTCCAATCTGTTAACTGGGGCAGGAAATGGTTTGTAAATTTTAATGCCTCCAAAATGAAACTGCTCTCATTGAACCACCGTAGAGAAATTTTCCTAACCACCATCAGCAGGGCTGATGCTAGAGTCATGGAGAGCAACACACTGCACTTTCTTTGCCTCATGTTTTTAACTGACTTGATGTATACAAGGTTGAATCATCCTCATTCCCTTCATATTCCATTAGTAAGAAGGAAGTTCCAACAAAGCAAATTCTTCCCAAGAATCTGGAACAGTTACCTGAGAGAATGCTTCTTTGAACTCTACAATCCTAACCTCTTCAAGTCTAGGGTATCTTGTTACCTATCATATTTATCCTCATAATACACATATACTTCCTACATCCATACAACTGTATCATTTGGTTACTCTCTACCTTTGTGTGGCTCTTGGGCCTTGTATTAAGTTTTTGTTTTTTGGTTAAAAAAAAAAAAAAATTCAGGAAAAGGAAGGAATACTAAAGAATCAGAAAATTTCAACAAGTTGATTCACCTTATCATGATGTTACCTTGACAATGAGGTTCTATAATAAAGGCACAATATTACTTTGGTGATGTCCTCCTGTAGTGTAGGCGCGATGTTACCGTGGCGATGTCCTCCTGTACTGAAGGCGTGACGTTACCACATTTTTTATGATCCAAATCCATACCCCAGTCAGAGGAATGCACTTGTGTATTGACAGTTTTAATATTTATAAACACTTTGTATTCAGTAATTGCTGTAATATTTTATAAACTATTTTTTGCTTTAAATTTAGTGATTTATTTATTTTTTTTTTTTTTTTCATTAATTTTTGTATTTTCCCTCTTTTCAGTCAGTACAGATGAAATTCAAATTCAGGTTTTTTGGGCACACTGTTGTTAATGTCACTGTTGCCACTGGAGGTGAGTCATTATTAGTCAATACTTTTTTTGTTTTATGCTTTAATTGAAAGCACAATTTAAAACTGGTTTTTAGTATCAAACAGTTTCTGCTATTATTACTTTGATTCCATCTTGAAATTATTGGTTGAATATTACAGTGTATAGTTTGTATCTCTTTGTCATGTCTTATTTAATGTTTCTAATAATGCCTTTTTCACACCTGATCCTGCTTTCCTTTTCTCAAAGATTTGATGACTTGAGCCTTACTGTCCTAAATTTGTTCAGTTGGATTCAGCATTGTCACACTTGAATTGTTGAAAGTAGTAAGCTAAAAGAAATAAAAGTAAAGTAGTAAATTTGAAATGAAAGTAGCTAAATGTTTATTTAATTTTTCTACCAAAAAAATATATGGCTTCATGCTTTACAAAATGCTTTTTATTTATATTGTCACTTGAAGTATTTCATAAAAATAATAATATATATATATATATATATATATATATATATATATAAACTTGTTTATTATGTATATAAAAAAGTGGGCATTGAGGTCATACCTAGTGGCTGCAGTATGTTTCATGCTTAGATGCAATTGTCTAAACATTAAACAGACTGTCACTGAAAATTGTTGACCTCAATGTTCACAACTTTTTTATATTTGATACTCTCTATTATATGATATGGAAAGCTTTTTTAACTCAATAAATATAATATACCTTAAAACTGTATTTTCAATGATTAATGCAAAGAAAATTTAAAATACTTAACTGATGTTATATTCCACAACTTGACTCCAGAGTTTTGTAAATGAAATATTTTTGTATATACTTATCTGAAGGTTTCACATACACACATATATATATATATATATATATATATATATATATATATATGTACACACATACATGTGCTGATGAGTCTTAAAAAAGAAGAAATGGCTGTCCAAATTTTCTGCATTCTGTTGATGGTTCTTTTTTAGATTTGATGAATTATTATGAGAAAAAGATATATATATATATATATATATATATATATATATATATATATATATATATATATATATATAATTTTAGTGGAAAATATACATACATATGCAAAATATATAAATACCCATACATGTATATTTTTAGAATAAAAATTCCAAGAGAAAGAATCCAGGTAGAACTCAATGTCAAGGAGAGAGTAAGGATATAATAAAAAGGCTTAAACACTAATATTCCATGGTCATAATTTATTCCATTGGAATCGTAAATACGATCCAATTCATCAGACTTACAAAAAGAAAACAGAAAATAACAACTCCGGAAATAAAAACAGAATTTAGAGAGAGTGTAAGTATGAGGAGGAGGGAGATTAAACCTTAACAGAGAGAACATTAGGAGAGATGGGTGGAAGGGGTTTAAATAAGAGAAAAGTGAATGTTGTCGGATGTCTAATGCATAAAGATACATTTCGTGGTGACATACACACACCATAGACAATCTAATGTTAGAATAAGAGGGAAAAAAAAAGACGAGATGGGGGAGAGAGATGGGACGAAGGAAAATAAAATTGCGTTTACTTAAAGGGCTGCTTTGTAATTGAGAAAATTTGACAAATTTAATATCGACTACAGGTTACAAATCAAATATAAATATATAAAAATAAATATAACGATTATCTAATCCAGCAAGGACCTATATTTCTATGTTCAAAAACACATACGAATACACACAATAACATATACATGTATATACATACACATAGGCGTGTACACACATACATATACCCATGTACACACATATAAAAATATATTCACATATCCACACATACACATATTCATCTATATCCATATACACACACTTTTCACATACATATACATGCATACATATGCCAACATATTTATATATATATATGTTTGTGTATATATATATATATATATATATATATGCTTTTTATATATTTACACACACACATATATATATATATATATATATATATATATATATATATATATAAAATATACATATAAATACATACACATACATACACACATATATACACACATACATCCATCCCATCCAGTCCTTCATATATATACACATTTACCCACATATATACATACGGACATATGCATACAGAAAATATAACGTATATATAAAGAAAACCTTACATGTCTATTACAATTATTTAAACAAATAGACAATGTATCCCTCTAACTATATATACACATATATCTACACCCATATACAAATATATATGAGTACATACATACCAAAACATATACACACACATATATATACACATCTACATATACGTCCATCTACATATATACCTATATATATGTGTGTATATATATATATATATATATATATATATAGGAAATTCCAGTCCTACCACAATATATATTCCATGTTGGAATAAAAGTATTAGTACTTTAATCAAAATAAAAAACAAGAGGCTGGAGATAAATTTCAACATGTAATGTATCTTGTGGTGGTGCTGGCATTTCACAATATGTACTGGTGATTTTAAAAGAAAAAAATTCTTTCAAAAAATTCTTAAATTGAAACTGCCTCCTCTTCATCTTCCCTAAAAATAAGTATCTAAAAATTGGAAAAAGGTAGATATGAAATGCCATCTCTCTTCAGGGGACAGGCAATCATAACACTATAGATGTCCTTTCTTTAATATCTGAGAATTGCTATACTTTCTTGGGAAATATAAGAGTAATTTCTTGATTACCTACTATGCTTTCAGTTTTCCTTCCTTTAGGCTGGTTGCCAACCAGGGCTAGAGAGTTCATTCTACCCTTCTTATAGGGGGAAAAGAGATGGATTCATACCTTGTCCAAGGACAGTAGGGACAAAGCAAATGCAACAGATTAACCTGGAATTTGAACTTGTTTCACTGATTCTATGTTTCAAATCAATAACTGTTACACTATTTGCAAAGAGGTAAATTATAAAATCATAATTAATCAATGATTTTTCTTGTTAGTTATCCAAGTTAACCTAGTGTATTAAAAAAAAAAAAATTATACAAGGCTTTCAAAAGTATCCCTGTTCATTACTTTTAATCCAACCCTGGAAACCCCAGCAGGATTAAAAAGTTTTTGTTCTTGGACATACATTGTTATCTAGCATTCCCAAAATACCGGATTTTCATTGGGAAGAATTTATAATCCTGTTGACCAAATAACAAAGATGATGATGTGTGTGTGTGTTTTCTTTAAAAAAAAAACGACAAAAAAAACAGTATTATTTAATGAATTCTGTAATGTGGATTGATGCGTTATTATTCAAATAGGTATAAAAATGAATATCTTGACACTTATTGTTATATTCCGTGGTAATATATACTTGAAAATATAGTGGATAAAAGAAGTAAAGGTTTATTGTAAAAAAACCGGTACAATAAGAATAAAGGTAACAGTTAGGCATAAGGTCATTCAAGTCAATCCAGTAGTGAGTGCTACTATTGGAAGGTTGGTAGTACTCAACAGATCCCAGCTAGGATATTTGCCAACCACCCCATGGGGTCAGATGTGGCACAAAGCTGAATTTAACGTGAGGTATCTGAGCCCATAGACTTGGGCAAAAATTCCTCATAGAACCTGCATAAATGGGATCAGGTCGGTCTACCTCCTCAAACGAGACTCTGCCCTTCAGCATAGCTTCGTCTGGGTTCCTCTTTGTCCGAAGGCAGAGAGTTCGACTGTATAGCTGAAAAGATTCCAGCTAGACTCTGTAGTCTGTTGACTTACAGATACTTATAGCTAGTTACTATCTATAGTGTAGTCACTCATGGGGGTGACAAGTTATTCCATTACATCACTTATCCAATTCTCCAAGTGCTATGCTAAAGGCTCAAGCCTTATAAAATTGAAAAAAAGAAATGTGACTCTATCACTGATGAAAGCATTTGTCTTGCCAGTGTGGATATAATCAACTCGTACATTCCCTGTTAAATGCTGTGTTTATCTTTTCTTTCAGGTTTTCTCTACATGGGGCCTTTCCTTCATCAGTGGTTAACAGCAACACAATATATTGCTCCGATGATGGCAAATTTTGATACTTCCCTTGGAAATAAAATATTAAAATTAAAGCTGATGGTAATAAAGACACATTGTTACATGACTTTCTACTCTTGTACACTCTTCAGAAGTTTTTTAAATCACCAGAAATATCAATTTTGATAAGTCTAATGAGCAAATCATCAGATATACTAAAGAAGTGTCAACTCTAGCATTAAATGCTTTGTACCATTTTTTACATTATCATTAAATATATGCATGTAGTAAATGAATTTAATACCAAATATAAAATTGAGATAATAATGGAAATTTTTTTTTATTTGGATTTTTAGTTTTGTAATTTGCTGTAGAAAGAGCTGAATTAAAAATCAATGTTTTATTTTCTTTTTGTATTTGCTAAAAGTTCACTTTTGTAATTTATTTTGTATTTTCTCATAAAAATAAGACTTTAATAGGTTTTTGATTATTGATAACTTTTGTTTTTCTTCAAAGGTTTGAAAATATGCCAAGAAATTTCAGATAATTTTAATATTTTAGCTGTGTTTATTTTCAGGGCAACAATTTGTGGTACAGTGGCATCATGTTCATTTAAAAGATCAAAATGCCAGTAAGCATTCTTTGTTTATTTTTATTCTTTTATGTATGTTTTTTTCTTTCTTTAGAAGTATTTTTTTTTCTATTATTTCGGGGAATATCTTAATTTTGGTGAATAAAGAAATCTAAAATTATATATAATTTTTTTTTTTCTTTTTTTTTAATTTAAAATTTTAGTATGCATCATAAAACAAAAGAATTTTAATTTTCATTTAATTTTAGATAATGAACTGATTTCTATTGATTTCATTTATTACAATGACAAAAATTTCACATCATACTAAGATTTTGTGAGAACAATCCTGTTCAAATGCTCTGTAGCATAATGCAACATTATGGTGTGAGGGTCTGTATTTGCATTCGCCCTGATTATAGTCCGACTCCTGCGTTTATTACAAAAGCTGAAAAGAAAATCGTATCAACATGAGAGAAAAAAAAGGAAAAGTTTATGAATTACTGCTTAAAATAATGATACAAAATGACACCTAAATGGAAATAAAATTTAACTTGTATTTACAAAGTAGTCTCCCCTTACTTTTTATTCGTAAATTATTTATGAAGTCTAGAAAGTGACTTGACTAACGGCTGTATTTGGTCTTTTAAGCGAGTTTTAAATTATGCCTAAAAAAAAAACAACTTTTTCTGAATATAGAATATTTGCTACATAACATTTTTCATTTTTTTTTTTTTTTTTTTTTAAATTATAATCCTTATTTTAATATTATTTAAATTGTTTCATAATTAAATTGCTTGAACCAGTTGTGATTGTTTTTTCTTTTAAGCAACACCATTCAATTTCCAAGCATTGTTGGATAAAAGTGGTAAAATTAAATTCATGTATAAAGAGGTAAGTTATGTTTTTTTTATGATGATTATATATATATATTTTTTTTTTTTTATTTATATTTTCATATCACAGGATTTATATTATTAATCATTTGTCAGTAGGTAACAGTTGAAGACTTTTTAAGCTTGCTGGTGATTTGTAACTGTTCCAAGTAAGCAGTGTGTTCATTAGTTAGAAATTCTGGTACTATTCGATTACAATATTGTCATTTGCTCATCATAGGGCCAGGAATCACAAAGCAAGCAATAACTCAAATGAGACAAGTCAGTAGAGAATAACCTTCAAGACATAATCTAAAAATATTCAAACATATTTCGAGTAGTTTAAAGTATATATCAGTACTAAAATGTAAATTCAGTATTTTAATAATAATAAAACTGAAATATGAATTTGATTTAAATTACTTCTTTTATATTTAGTATCATTTCAGTTTTGGTGTTTGAATTGCAGACATATGTAGACAGGTTTATAACTATAATATTATATTGCATATTTTAAGGAGTTTACCACATATTGTTGTAAGCCAACTTTTTTTATATATACATCTGTTGAGGATATATTTATGAGGGCTGCAATGGTCTTTAACATTTATTTCATTATTTATTTATAGCTAGACATCAAATAGAAAAATATTAGAGACACATACATACATACACAGTGTAATTAAGGGAAAAAGACTGGGTATGGTGGTGGGGATGAGGAAATGATAAAAAGAACGAGGATCAAGGTAACAAAAGATGTCGATTGACATTACATTTAAATTTTTGAAGATTATATTTATCAGGGAAGTAAGTAAGAGGAAGGGAGTTCCACTATTGGGAAGTGCAAGAGAAAATCTGTTGGAATAGAAGAGGCTGTTACATTTAACTGTTTTGACAGTGAAAGGTTGGGACCAATATGCCAACCTAGTAGCATACTTAAATTCATGCATTTGGGGCACCAGTGAAAATAGCTTGTCAGAGCAGTTGCCATGAAAATATTTATAGAAAAGACAGAGGGAGGCAACATTATGTTGGTGAGAAAGTGACTGGAGTCAAGACCCCAAATAAATATGCACACATTGTATAGATTGTGTTGACTCAGTCTGCACTAATATTTTACCCATAGCTGGGGAGAGAAGAGATGGATTCATACCTTTCCCAAGGGTATTTGCATGTAATTGAATGCATAAACTCTACTGGAATTCAAACTTGGCTCTCCATTTCTTATTCTGAGTTATTGTCCATGCAAATCCAAGTATCTTGTAACTTAATTTCACATAGAACCCAACAGATCTATTATTTATTTATTTATTTTTTTATAACTATTTTAGAAGTGGTTTTGGATGCCATCAAATGCAGTAAATTAGATTGAACTTCTGGCACTTAAGTATTCTGTAAATCTGTTTAGAGATGAACATGTAGTTAGAACATTAATGTTTTAATCTTACCCTGGTCAAATTGTTTGTGGGGGTGTCTTCTTGATAACATCAGCCTGAGCAGATGATTACAGCATGTGTACTGGGAAATGCCTGAAAACCATACCATATGTTGACCCAAGCCCTGTGAGTAAAATTGGATAGATGAAATTATTCAGAAGACATAAATGGTTATGCTAGCACAAAGTTACAAGCCATTGTGACTGAGGGTTTCAGTGTTCTGACCTTGATCATGCCAGATTATACAAACTCTGCCAGAAACTAATAAAAGATTGCTCAACACAGTTGCAGTGTAAACAAAAGGTTTAGTCTGAGTATCAAAGGAACACAAATGCACCTGTGCAGGTGTCTGCAACACTAAATACCTAACTACCCCAGCAGACACTTACTATGAGTAGCCAGCCATTACTCATTACCACTGCTGGGATATCACCTCTTGCCACTTCTGTTTGGCTGAAGGCCAGAGAATAAAAAAAAAATGGGTTGGCAACTGAGTGACCTCAGTTGCACTTGATTTGGCTGAAGTCATTGTGTTACATAGTAGAAAACTGGTGTTCTGGTTCAAATAACCTAAGGTTTTTCTGATGGTATTTATATTATTTGGTCAAGCAAGTTTGAACGTTCATGAGTCTATCACACCAACCATCATATTCTTGCATAAAGGTCTGAAGGTCACTAGGGTGGCATTCTGTCTCATAATAAAGCTGGTCAGTGTAGATGGCTGCAGGGTGCCCAACCTGTCTTGCTCCATGGCTAGGTGTCCAGAACAGAAGATCACTCGCAAGTTCTTGTTTTGCCTGTCAACAGTCTCCTGTGATGGCATTATTTAGGTATATTTACACACATGTATTAAAATATAATATCACTGTAATTCTTAATTTTAACTGGTTCTGCTGACAAGTCACAAGTTATCATGAACGAGGGTTTGAGTGTGCTGGTCTTGTTAAACAACTGATTCCACCAGATTATGCACTCTCTCCTAGAAATTGTAACTGCTTAGTATACTTGCAGTATAAATCACAAATTAGTTTTGTGGGTGTTAAAGGAGCTCAAATGTGCCTGAGCAGGCACTGCAACAGGGAATACTACACTAAAAAAATGGGCATGCTGGAAAAATATCATATTTAACCCTTTAGCATTCATGGGAATATGTAAACAGGAATATTGGTGTAAATGTCTTGCAATGGACGAATGGTCAAGCATGTGTAGAGTAAGATGTATTGATAATGTAGCAGTTGTATATTCACATTATAGAAAAATACTGATTGATAACGCAACTATTCTACACCAAGAAAATAACAAATTAAAACTACAGCTCCTTGAAGCAATCTACATTAAAAAATTGAAGCCAACACACAATAGAATCAGCTACGAATAATGTAATAATGTTCTAAAATGTCTATAAAAAGAAGAGTTTTCATGCTTTAATGCAGTTGACCATGACATTCCAACATAAAAGAAAAAATTCCATAATGGATAATTTTTTTCACATTCTAATGAATGCTAAAGCATAACTGTCAGCCATAGCATTTAAATGCAAAAAGAAAAAATTCAGTCATGGATAGCTACACATAGTTTTTTGCCTTACCAATTGCACCCCTGATGATGATCTCAGAAAGAGATGGAAAGTACTTGAGGAAATAAGTGATTTTCACTTTTACATTGCAGGCATAAGCAAAAATAAGCAGGCATAATGTTTGTAATTTATTTAATCAGACATGCCTAAAAGAGATTTTGCTGCCTAAATAGGCACACACATATATATGAGGCAAAATGTAGATATAAAACAAATAATTAGATATTAGCAACTGTATATATGTGCGTTAGTGTGCATACACAGATAAGTGAATAAATATTTAATTTAAGGTGTAAACAGAAGTGTTCAATGTAGTTAGAGCTAAATTTTAAAATTTAATGATTTTAATTGACCCATGTTAAATTAGATTATTTTGCATTTCTGTTCAGCAATAAAAGATTAAGCATGAATAATTATAAATATCCTGTGCTTTTTACTTCAGTTACCAATACTTCCCAATAAAATCTCATCTGAAAAGCACCCTGTCAAGATTGGCCTATCTGATGCTTACTACATTGATTCTAAAAGCAATGAAGGTAAGTTGCAAGCATATCTGTCTACTTCTCTCTCTCTCATATATATATATATATATATATATATATATATGAATGAAGAACTATACTCTTAAGATATGCTATATTTATGGGATAAAGTGCTCAATATTGAGATAGTGTGTGTAAATATAAAAGTGAACATTGAAGTCAACACTCAGACAACAGCTGTTTCATGCTAGACGCAATCGTGGCCTGACAATTGCGTCTAGCATGAAACAGCCTGTCACCTCTAAGTATTGACTTCAATGTTCCCTTTATATATATATATATATATATATATATATATATATAATTAGTTATGAGGATGCATTTCTATAAAAAGTGATCCCACTGAGTCCTACTTGTTATTACAAAAAAGTTTTCATTCATGAAGTAGTTGTAAAATAGAGAAATTGGAAATAGAAGTTTGGGATTTTGGAAAAGGGTTGTCAGTTGTTGAAAGGAATTTTTGCTGTTATCAACTCCGGCTTTTGATTCGAGGATTATTATATCCAGCCGAAAGAATCTCTATAAAATTTGCCGACCAACAAAAACCCAAAAGAGAATTTCATGGAACAAATTTGGTAAATAGAATTTTGACTAATTTCCATTGACCAAACTAAAAATTAATATTTATTTACACACCTTTGGGGATTTCCAAATATAGCACTTAGATTACTTCACTAACCCTAAAGTGGTAATAAGATTTGACTCCCTTTCCTTCTCCCTCCTAACACTTCGCCCATAAATTCTGTGTTTTCTGTAAGACACAATTGTTTATCTTGTATATATTTATGTTGTGTTTTAGTAAATTAAATGTTTGTTCATGATTTAGCTCTGTGTTTTGGTAAATCAATTTTTTTTTCCTTTGTTACAATTATCAACACGTAACATAGGTGTGTAATGTGTAAACCTATATATATATATATTTATATATATATATATATATATATATACATATTATTATATTTATTAGAATACTGTCTTTCTATATATATATATATATATATATATATATATATATATATATAGGTAGGGCAAAAAAGAGGGACAAAATTGTTACAGTTTCTACAAATGTAGGGATTTTTTGAGATTTTTGTTACAAGAGGTGGAAAATATTCTAAAGTTTTACTGTTCAAAAGCATTTTTAAATTGATGAATGTTTAGTCGCTGTGATCAGTAACTGATGACCTGTTCAATCCAGGTGCCTCGCTGCTGGGTGACATTCATGACTCTCTCTAACATGTCATTTGGAATTCTTCTGATTTCTCTCTTGATGTTGTCTTTCAGTCTGTCGATAGTGTCTGGGTTGCCCTCATACACTCTCTTCTTCAGGCACATCCCCAGAGAAAGTAGTCTGGCAGGCTTAAATCAGGAGAGTAAGGCAACCATGGATTGTCAGTCCTTAAGATTAATCGGTCACCTGGAAAGTATTGCCCAATGGATTGATGAGTGTGATCAGGACAGGTGGTGCATCATCCTGTTTGAGCACAACTATGTTCATGTGCAAACCTCATCGCCTCCTTAATGCTGGAATGAAGCGTCTCTGAAGCATTTCGATGTATTGGTGCACATTCATTGTTTCTGATGACTGTCATCATCTTCAAAAAAAGTATGGGCCAAAAATACCATCCTTTCCAAGTGCACACCATACCGCCGTTTTTTTTTTCTACACTCAGAAGTTTTTCAACATGTTCGTTAGGTTGTTCACTCCCCCCAAAACCTGACATTTTGCTTATTCACATGCACACTCAAATGGAAATATGCCTCATCACTGAAGAGAAGACAATCGGAAAGTTGAGGGTCATTCTCAATATGCTTGCTTATTGTCTGAACAAACTTGAAGTGCTCGGTCTTGTTGATTTGAGTTTGCGCTTGAAGAATTTGCACTTTTTAGGGAAACGGCTTCAAATCACTGTGGATAATTTGGCACGCAGATCTCCTGGAAATAACCAATTGCTGTGACCACCGTCTGGTGGATTTGCGAGGCGGCTGTTCCAACTCGTCCCTGAAATCTTGAACATGAGCTGGCATTGTCACTGGGAACTTTGGGCAACAATGGCCTTTGTTATTGCTAAACACACTTCTAGTGTTTCTAATGTTTTCTAGCAAATGTGTGATTTGTATGGTGATAGGAAATTTTCCTTCCAGGATATTCATGTCAAAATTGCCTCTGAACAAGTGTAGATGACTTAGTTGTAAAATACTGTTCTACAATCTTTGACCTCTCTTCAACCGAAAACTACTCATAGAGCACAAAAAAAATGCTGTGATTCGATTTGGTAAAAAGTAAAAGATCTTTTTTTTTTTTTTTCTTTTTTTATGAAAATCTATTCTCTTATATGTCATGTCCCTTGAGTACGTGGTCGTTTATGACTCCACAACTTTCTATCCTATGCAGTTCTACAGAAAGATGCTGAAAATAGAACATTTTAGCAATGAGGTTTTAAGGAAAATACAGGCAAAAAAGACACTTAGGATCAGAAAGAAACAATTGAAATTTCTTGGACACATAATGAGAAAAGAGGGCTCGGAGAATTTGGCACTCATAAGACATATCAAAAGCAATAATAATAATAATAATCTTTGCCATCTTTTTCACATTGTTTATTGGGACTGATTATTTAAAATCATTCTATTGTTTGGATCTGAGCCAATTCATAAACATCCTAACGTTTTTATGTCTATTCTTATCATTATCTGTTGTAATAATTGTAAAATTGAATACAATAATGGATCATTATTTGTGTATTTAGGCTAAAAAGAAATCAAAGTTGAGAAATCTAATTATTTTTATTTTATATTTTTATATATATATATATATATATATATATATATATATTATAAAATTAAATTAAAATGCATTTTAATGTACAACATTTAAATGCAGTTTAATGTGTAAAAATCAAGGGGAGATAACTAGAATTATTTTTACCTTCAAAGAATTGCAGAGTTTTCAAAACGAGACGGTTGAGAGAATAAATAAAGTTAATTTAATTTCTTTTTAATATAAATTTTTTGAAAATGTAAATTTTTATTGCATTTTAAAGTCACAAACATACCTAATGTGAATTTTGCTTGCTTTATACAATGAACATACACGCTTTTTGATTTCTGGTAAATGCTGTAAAAGAAATAGTTGTAATCAAAATAGCAAAGGATTCGACCTATTCATTTATCAGATATTGAGCTGCAGCAAGCAACAACAAAGTCTCTTTTAATAGACTTGTTAAAGCCTAATGATCTATTATCTCAAATGCACCAAACTAATTTATTAACTTTCTCAAAAATCATGTCAATTTAATTGAGAATAAAGAGATCTGGAGAGCCATGGTTGCCCTCATCCTGAAGGGACATAACATTTAAAATGCACACACACACACTATTCTTTACATATGCATTATGTCCTCTGATGGACTTTATCAAGGCAAATGTAAGGACTTTATATTGCTGTGTATCTATTAATACAAAAAGGATCTTATACATAAATTTATCAAATGCATCAGTCATATATAGAAATAAGTTCAACCACAACTTCGATCTGAAGAATGCTACACTTAAGAGAAAATAACAAAGTTCTTGAGAGTGCTGCTATCACATCTTGCCAAAATGTAAATCTGTGCCCTAGATTTCCTCAAATTTCTCCTTTCCCAAAATATATACTCTTTTCCCAATTGATTGATTTTTTTTTTTTATATACAGTTTATATATAGTGGTTAAGCCAGAAAATATATATATATATATATATATATAAATATATATATATATATATATATAATGATTTAGTGATACAAATCTTACTAATTAGCCCATAGCTGGGGAAGAAGAGGTGGATTCATACCTTTCCCAAAGGTATTTGTGCATAAGTGGATATAACGAAATGCCAGTTCCCATACAATCACTGCAGTTAACAACATCGATGAATATAACCCTGTCACTGGTTTCAGACATAATTTCCAAATTAGACTCCCACAAGGCCAGCAGATGTGACTGGATCCCAGACGTTGTCGTAAATAAATGTGCTCCTGATCTGTCTCTAGTTCTCTCCAAACTCTACAATAATTGGTTTACTGCTTCCTTCTTACCAGTTTGTTGGAACTCCTCCTCTGTAGCTCCTTTTTTCAAGAATTCTGGAGAACCCTCTGACCCCTCAAATTATTGCCCTATTAGTTTCTGACCACTTTTTGGCAAGTATTTGAGGTTGTAATCAATGCTGATATGGTGAAGCATTTTACTTCTCCCAACATCCTCTGTTTCAACAGGTCTACCACTGATGTATTAACCACCATCACTGAATTTGTACATCAAGCTCTGGATAAGAACAGTGAAGCTCAAGCTGTGGCTCTAGACATTTGACAGAGTTTGGATTGCTGGCCTTCTATGTAAGCTCCAGGACTGCTGTATTACTGGACGATTGTTTGATTTAATCCAATTGTTCCTATCAAATTCTAAAATGAAGGTCGTTTTGAACAAGCTCACTTCCAGATCCTTTCACATGAATGCAGGTGTCCTCCAAGGCTCTATCCTGGGTCCTACACTGTTTCTGATCTTCAATGGTCTCCCTGATGTCATCAGTTCCCAGTTATGCAGATGACCCCTACCATTTACTCCTGTCTCAATAGCAAATCTGACAAAGTAAACCTGGCAGTTACTCTTGGAAAGGACCTCTAATCAGTGGTTAACTGGGGTAGGAAATGGCTTGTAAATTTTAATGCTTCCAAAACAAAACTGCTTTCATTTAACCATCACAGAGAACACCTTTTGCCTTCCATCAGGATGACCAATGCAAACTCCCAGGAGAGCAATACACTGTACTGCCTTGCCTCATGTTTTCAACCGATTTGAAGTGGAGCAACTACATCAAATCAATAGTTGCATCTACTCCAAGGAATGTTTGGTCACTGTGTCATGCCAGAAAATCTTTCTCATCAGAATCTATCTTGCACATTTACAAATCTACCATTTGTCAGTGCATTGAATACTGATGCCATATTTGGTCTAGT